CTCATAAAAACCAAGTATGAAACTTTCTTGAGAGTTAATTGCTTTCTATGATATGGACACATTTAACCATTGTCATGTTCGTCTTCTGTATATGCAATCTATTAAAAGATCTATCAAGTGATTTATTTATTATTTATTATTATTTATTTATTTATTTATTTATTTATTTATTTATGATTTCTGCCTCCCCCCCTGCCACCGCCTCCCATTTCCCTCCCACTTCCCCAATCAACTCCCCCTCTCTCATCAGCCCAAAGAGCAGTCAGGGTTCCCTGTCCTGTGGGAAGTCCAAGGACCACCCACCTCCATCCAAGTCTAGTAAGGTGGACATCCAAACTGCCTAGGCTCCCACAAAGCCAGTACGTGCAGTAGGATCAAAACCCAGTGCCATTGTTCTTGACTTCTCAGCAGTCCTCATTGTCCACTAAGTTCAGCCAGCGAGTCCGGTTTTATCCCAGGCTTTTTCAGACCCAGGCCAGCTGGCCTTGGTGAGTTCCCGATAGAACATCTCCATTGTCTCAATGTGTGGGTGCACCCCTCGCGGTCCTGAGTTCCTTGCTCGTGCTCTCTCTCCTTCTGCTCCTGATTTGGACCTTGGGGTTTCAGTCTGGTGCTCCAATGTGGTCTCTGTCTCCTTTCATCGCCTGATGAAGGTTAATATCCAGGAGGATGACTGTATGTTTTTCTTTGGGTTCACCTTCTTATTTAGCTTCTCTAGGATTGCAAATTATAGGCTCAATGTCCTTTATGGCTAGAAACCAATTATGAGTGAGTACATCCCATGTTCCTCTTTTTGGGTCTGGCTTACCTCACTCAGGATAGTGTTTTCTATTTCCATCAAGTGATTTTTAGATATTTATTAATTCCTTTCAAAAGATAAAAATCTTAAAGCTTTGCCTGGAGAGATGGCTCTACCCCTAAAGGTTAGGTTCACAACCAAAAGATGTCTTAAAATATTCTTGAAAACTGTAATGACTTTTGTCACTCTCAAATCACTTGATATGTTAAGTGAAAGGAGTCCTTTGAGTAGAAATTTTGAAGTAGCCTTTTCAGAGCACTATTAACTTCAGTATTTCTCAGGGTGTAGATCACAGGATTAATTGCTGGAGATAGTACAGGATACAGTACAGAAAACAACCTGTCTGTAATTGATGTTGTATTTGAGGGTGGCTTCAGATAGACAAAGCAAGCAGTACCAATGAAAACAGTGAACACAATGGGGTGGGGGACACAGGTAGAAAACGCTTTGGACTGCCCTTTAGTAGCAGGAATCTTCAGTACAGTAGAGAAAATGTAAGAGTAAGAGATCACCACACAGAAAATACAAGAGATACCTAGACACAGAGTAATCCCAAGACTTGTGTAAATGGCAACAAATAAATCAGATCCTTACCAATGAGGGAACATTGCAGAAAATCTGTGGAATTACATTAGAACCACAGAAAGGCACAGAAAATATGACAATTGTGTAGCTGGCTGCAAAGAGCAATGCAATGATCCAAGATTCACCCATCAGCAGGACACATGTGACACTACTCATAATGGTCTCATAATGCAGGGGACGACAAACAGCAACATTATGGCAGTCAGGAGAAATACTTCCTCTGCTCCAAAGCAGGACATGGAAAATAACTGGCATGCAATCCAATAGTAGAAATGGAATTGTTCTGAGTTAAGTTACTGACAAAGAAATTTGGAATTAGGATAGACGCGAGACAGACATCCAAAACTGACAAGTTCTTCAGGAAGAAGTACATGGGTGATTGGAGTTTCTGATCCAGGGTGATGAGAGTGATGATGAGGAAGTTACTCATTAGAATCACTACATATATTAACAGAAAGGACTCTCTGAACATGGCGGACAATGAGCGCTGATGAGAAGCCAAGGACAATGGCACTGGGTTTTGATCCTACTGCATGAAATGGCTTTGTGGTAGCCTATCCTGTTTGGATGCTCACCTTCCTGGACCTGGATGGAGGAAGGAGGACTTTAGACTTTCCACCGGGCAGGGAATCCTGACTGCTCTTCAGACTCGTGAGGGAGGAGGAATGGAGTGGGGGAGGGGGAGAGGATTGGGGGGGAAGGGGGAAGGAGTGGGGGAGGGGAAGAAGAGTGGGAGGAGGAGGAGGGAAATGGGAGGCAGGGAGGAGGCCCCATAAGGATGAATCCAGTTACTGCAGTGATATTGGGCATAAAATATTCTTTCATAACCTGACAGATGAGGAAAAGTCAATAGAAATTTTCAAAGTCCTGAACACTTACATAAATGGACAGATTCCGTGGAAAAGAGTCAGGAACCGACCTAAATTGCTTCAACATTTTCATAAAATTCTCATTTTCTTCCCTTACTATCTTAAGCTCCCCCACTCCCTCTTACGTTTGTCTATGTATGTCTCTTTCCCCTCTCCTTCTTCTCACTCTCATTCCCTTACTTTCCCTCACCTTTTGTTCTCCCTCCCATTCAGTAATGTTTTTTAGGATGTTTTATATATTACGCTGCTAAGCAAGTTTCTACAAATGGTCTTTATAACCTTTGCTCATAAACTCTTAAAATAAAGTCTAAGGAGCTAGATCACTATGTGATATAAATTAATCTAATTTTCAAAAAATGTCATTTTAAAGTTAGCAGGAAATTTTCATTGCTTACCATAGATTGTGTTGCATTTAAAAAGTAATAAATATTTAAAACATAGAAAATAAAGTTTAGAAAAGCTGAAAAAGGAAATGGAATAGTGTCATTTAATCTTGTGGCCTCAAACTTACTTTTTTATTAGATGCTTATGAGATTGTGCTATAAAGAACCTGTCCCAATTATTGACCATTTGTGTCAACTCTTTGCTTAAATGATTTTATTAAGAAAATTTAATAAAGATTAAATGATGCAGTCTCTAAAATTGCTACAAATACCCAATGCATATCTAAGCGTAGGATAAAATATTGCTTTTTTGCAATTATTTCCCTTGTTTTGATTGTTTAAGACACTGACTAAAATTGTTGTTCTGATATTAAGCCTCCCATGGTGTTTACCTCCAGCTGGTAAGAATTGCACACTCTTGGGTTGAAGAAAAGTTATTTAACTAAGGTGTTTCAAATTTATTAGCTGCTGTCTTTTAAAGCATCTATTCCAGACTACAGAAGACCACTCTGCTAATTATTATTAATTTTTGAAGTGACAGAGGCTAGGTATTTATGTTTTTATTTGTTTGTGCATATCTATATTAAGGGGTATCTCTACTAGGATGTGGTTTATTTGTCTTTTATTTTATTTTAAACTAAGCCTTAGAATTACATTGAGGTTCAATCAAAGAAAATAATGTACATCTTGTGATTTAAGTTGAGGCAGACTAGGAAGATCATTTTCTTATAAGCCCATGTTTTTCATCAATTTTCAAAATCAGAGGATTTAAGGAACTGCACATCATTCATGGAATGTGTTATTGACAGTGGTTTTGAATTGTTGGACTATACTTCAGAATGTAGAATCTCTTTGAGTTTCGCTTGGATGATATAGATGAGTAATTTGTCTCAGTATGTGTGAGAATAAGATATAATAAGGTAAGGAACATAAATATTGTTTCATTTCATCGCTTGGAGTCTGATAACTTATAGTGAAAGTGACTATAAAATACATTTAATATAATTGAAAGAGGTCATATATTGTATTTTTTTGAGAAATGAGAACACAATTAAATATAAAAGATGTATAATTGTTCTGATACAGCATAGACTCTCCAAAGAGATTTCATATATCATGATGAAAATATTTCATATTGTAAGATACTGAAATTTTTACCAAGGGAAATCTTTCATGGATGAGTAATTTCTTCTGCAATTTTCGTTCATTCCACAACATTTTTCTATGCAGTGGTAGGAAAATTCACCTGCATCAAGTAAGAGGTAATGCTTTTCTGACCTACTCAGAGGCTATTAGAAACACATGAAAATGTTTTGTGGCGATTGTTCCTCCGGAGAAACAACACCTACTACATACACAAGATACAGAACCAAATAAACACAAAAGTCATTCCACCAAAGTGCAACGTGGTAAACCAATGAGTTTATTGGGGTTATTTATCTACAGTAGCATGGGGGAGACAAAGCCAGCTATATCATAATATCCTATTATTCACGAAGTTGGTGACAACTTACAAAGGCTGCAATCCTACAGCTGTATACATGATATTTAGATCATCCCACAAGTTAGAGAGCATCAAACAATCACTCAGGATAGTGAGAGAGTCCCCCTCACCCCAGCAAATGTTTAACATTTCTATAATTATGAGAGAGAGAGACTTGTCTATATTGCTTTTAAGTCTCTAGAACTTGTTTAGGTTATTTAATTCTTTTGACAAACAAGCTTGCCTTCTCTCACCTGTAAATAATGTTTATACTGAAAAAAAATTGCAGGAAAAGATCAACAAAATTTCAAACTCTTCACTGTCTTTCTGATAGTACCATTAAACTGAGTGGCCATTATTTACATTGTATAACTTGTCTCATATAATCTAGCACCATGTTAATTTTTGCTCTGTTTCTATTGGATTGGCTTTGCTGCTGTGTCTCTCACTATTACACAGACTAGCATAGGAACCATAGGTAGATTTACCATTATAACTCACATTATCCCCCAGGTAAATTGGTCATTTTTTTAGTTAGTGAATCAGTTATGCAGTAAATGAACCTGATATGAAATTATAAAATAACCTAACATTAAATCTTGATATAAAAATTAATAAATAGGTTTAGAAAATTATATATCTCTAAAGAGGAGAGTTTTATCATACAGTAAAAGAAACTGGTAATATGACTTTATTATGTAAGTCTGATGAAATCTAATTTCCTGATATTATATCTTACCAACCCTAACTAAACTTAAAATTTATTTAGTCTATTTAGTTGAGGCAAAATATTATCTGTAATTATTTTTCTAACGTCAAAAATTACAAATCTTTCTTTTAAATTGTGAGGCCATATTCCACTGACAGATATTTTGAAGTGTTCAATGAAGTGAACCCCTTAGACAGAGATTTTGCTTCAACCTCCTAAGAGCACACTTGACATCGGTGTTTCTCAGGCTGTAGATCAAAGGATTAAGAACTGGAGGTAGCACAGTGTATAGAAGAGAAAAAAGACTATCTGTAATTGATTTTACATTTGCAGGTGGCTTCAGATAGACAAAGCAAGCAGTAACAACAAAAACAGTGAAAACAGTGAGGTGGGGGATGCATGTGGCAAGTGCTTTGGACTGACCCTTAGTGGTAGGAATCATGAACACAGTGTAGAATATGTAAAAGTAAGAGATCACTACACATATAAAGCAAGACAGGGCTACACACACACCAGTTCCAAGACATGTATAAATGAACAAAAGAATCTTGGAACATGAAATTCTTAGCAATGAGGAAACAGCACAGAAAAACTGTGGGATCACATTGGAGCCACAGAAAGACATGGAAAATGTGCCAGCTGTGTATATGGCTCCAAAGAGTACTCCAGTAGCCCAGGAAACACTCACCATCAGCACACAGGTACCACTATTCATGATGGCATCATAGTGCAGGGGACTGCAAATGGCAACATAGCGGTCATAGGACATGGCAGTCAGGACAAATAATTCCCCTCCTGAAAAACAAGTCATTAAAAATACCTGAACTGCACAACCAAGCATGGAAATGGAGTTGTTGTGAGTTAGGCTATTGATAAAGAAATTTGGGATAGGAACTGACACAAAAAAGATATCCAACAAGGACAAATTCTTCAAGAAGATGTACATGGGGGTTTGAAGCTGCAGGTCAATGATGATGAGAGTGATGATGATCAGGTTACTGGCTAGGGCTGTGATGTAGATCATTAGGAAGAACACTCCTGGATGTCAGAGAAACCCTTAAGGATGAATCCAGTTACTGTAGTGTCATTAGGCATACTAGATTCTTTTCAGGTTTTCTTGATTCAGCTGTGGAAACTTAACTGTTCTGAATTAAATAAAATATGATATAATTTAATATTATAATTTTAAGTCTATGGTCTTAATAAGTTTAAGAACAAATTTTCATGGTTTTTAGAACGTCTGTTTAAATATAAGCAAGTTATTCTTTTATGAATATTGAGTCTATCCCAGCAGGTAGTAAGAAAGGATTTTGAATATTTGAACAACAGAGTCTTGATAGATAGTTAAAAAGATATATCTAAAAATTACCAATATGATAATTACACATGTATCAAAAGATCGTATTACCACATACAATATGCAGTTTCTCTGAATCAATATGCATAAAAAATAGGAAATTGCAGAAAAATAAAATTCATAACAGGTTAAAATAAAATTTAATGTTTTCTTATAATCTTTAGGCACAAAACTTGCATTCTATGAGTTTGGACAACAAAATTTTGATCAACTTACAACAACTGTATCAACATTTTCTTAACAGCTTTCATGAAAAAAATGTTCAAAAAATAGCACAGATTTATATAATTCTTTACTTAAACCACTGCAAATGCTCCATCGAAATCTAAGGATAAGATGAAAGCTTGGCATTTCCTATAATTTAATTTGTACTCAATTGTCTTAATCTTTGAGAGAATTGATGATCAGCACGGAAGACAAGCATTGTGTTTACCTGTAGCCAGCAATGCTCTCCCTTAAAGGCGGAAGAAAAGATAGATTTACTAGGATATTTCCAATTTATGAGCAGTCATCTTTTACATCATCTACAAAAGACCACCAAGAAGTCTTTATTCCTCTCCCATAATTTTCTTGTACAAGAAAGGATTGTAGGCCAATGACTCACTGGTGAAGCTGACCCCATAAGAAGGAGTCATAATCAAACTGTGAAGAAATAGCAAATCTTCAAAATAAAGCATTAGGCATATATACAACATGCAAAGCAAATAAAGATGGTTCATCCTGACATTTCCCTTTAGATTAAACACTGGTTGCCTAAGAAGAGCCAATCAGCAGGACACTGCTGATGAATTGTGTGATCCGTGGTAAGGCTCAACCTGACCACAGTCTGACCTAGGAGCTTCTATGAACTTCCCGCTTCATCTTGAAGTTCATGTCACTACTTTTAGAAGACAAAGTTATTCAATACAGTTATATATGTTAAATCCCTTTCCTGTCACTATTATTTTTAATGTTTGATTACTATTGAGATCAAATATTTCTGATGTACATTAATATTCAAAAGCCAGAAACTTATGGCATAGGATTCCTTTAAGGAATCTCCAATCAAATATTCCCTAATTTTCTTGAATATTTTATCATGTCCTATTGTTTGAAATTTAATTTTCAATATTATCTGCTGTGTCTTGATACAAGTCAAGCGCTGCATGTCAAACTATATTATTTGATTATTATATCAAAATTATTTAGGTAACTCTATTGTTTACTTTCTCTCTATGTTTGTATGTTTCTATGTTTGTATATATATGTTTGTATGTGTTAATATGTGTGTGGTACTGAGATTATATGACTGAGACTAATATAAACTGTATGGGCACTTCTTATTCTCCACCAGATGAGGCAAAGTTAATTATGCACAAGCATGTATCTATATTTTAATAAACAATGAAACATCTTCACATAGCATAATTTAGGGCATTAAAAATTTACTGATCAGTCAGTTGCCTGCTTACTCTTAAGGGATCTCTACCAATGTACACAGAACAAGTATAGAAGTCAAAATCCACTGAAGACAGCATTTTAGGTAAGCCTATTTCTAATGCAACATAAGATAAATCCTACTAGGAATATTTACAAAAAAGCTGTCTGTGTGTACATGTGTGGTAGAGAGATGAGAGTTTGGACACTTGTCAGACTATTACAATCTTCAGGAAAAACAGGAGGAAGGAAATATAAGATATAAAGGTGAATAAATCACTACTAAATTACATTGCTTTTTAACAATTTTTTAATTTCCTTGTTATCTATAGTATTTTAAAATGTTTTAAGAAACATATTTTAACATTTTAACAATGAAAATTTGAAACGTACCTGACAAAAACTCAGATTCTTCACACTTCCAGAATAGAGTTAATCTTTATATTTTCCAGCATGTTGATATGAGAAGGGAATTTTTCACATCTTTAATAGTTCAGGTTAGCATTGGATCACCTGCTAGCAAATACAACATGTAGCTCTCATTGGGAAATTCTGAATTCAAACAATATTTAGATAATATTAAGGTTGTTATAAAATTAAAAGTTATGAGTTAAACTGTCTTCATATCTTATCCTGAGAAAGCAAATATTAGCAACAAGACAATACTTCACCTTTTTATAAAAATGTTGTGGATTCATTTTAATCCATACATAATTAACGTATTCCTAACAGTCCTTTTGAAGTCACTGGGCTACTCTCTAGGAGTCCCAAAAGGCACATCTTTATGGATAGCCTTGTTAAGAACCCATGCAAAGATAATTAGTGTTGCAATAACTGCTACTTTCTAAAAATGAAATTTATCAGTTCCAAGATAGGTAAAAAGGAACATGAGTGTATATTCCTCAGAATTAAATTAATAAAGTTAGGTTCAGAACTTAAATATAGAAAATAGAGCCACCACACCCAGTGTACACCCAGTACATCCTCCTGTGAAGGTCAATCCTCGCTCAAAATGTGCTTAGAGACACTCGAGTCTCTAAATCTCTAAACAAAATTTCATCTAGTTGAGAGTAAATATTAGCCATCTCATTTCTTGTCACCTTGATGACCAAATGGATTCCTTTTAAATCATAACACTATACAAGGGTTCTTAAAGTCTTTATCTAATTTACTAATGCCAAGCTTGTTTATCACACCTCTACATACCACTAAAGCCTTAGAAGGTCTAATGCTGATCAAATATGTTTTCCATGGTCTTGGAGAGATGATTTACTGGTTAAAGTTGGTATTGCCAATCCTGAGTACTCATTTGTTTCCCATAACCCACATTAGGAAACTCATAAATGTCCAAAACTCCAGCTTCTGATGACATCCTCGACCAAATGTACTCACCACTTCACACACATACATAGACATATTTTAAAACAAAATTAATATTTTACATGTATGATCCATTTTTTCCTCTGGAAACTACTAACAATCTCTTGCCTGGCCTTAAAAACTCAAAAATCAAATTATACATATTATATAGTCAATGACAGACCAAATATTACCATTATAAGCCAGAATAATGAATGAAAAGTAAGTTAAGGAAATATCATTTAAAAGTAAGACTAAAATCAAATATAGAAATCAAAAAAGGATTTAGGTCTGTATTTGGAATCCTGTGTTTAAGATGGAAGCATTCACATTTCATAAACTTGAGCCATCCCACTTATCCCAGATCTCCAACTTAGATCTTGTGTCCTTTGTCATCAAATTGTCTCTACAACACATCTTCAGCTTTCCATTTAGACAAATAATGTTCTTAGTATTGCCAACACCTTGAGGTTTCATTATATCCTAAGCTTTACCTTTTCAGTTCCCTCTAAACCTTATTATCAATAAATCAATATTAACTAATCACATATTATCTGGCTTCTTCAGCTTTCTAGAACTTTGGTTGAGTCTTCTTGAACTTGTCATTCTACCATAGTACATTTCAACAAATTATTGTGTATCACACTTGTGTCACTGGTGAGTTCTGCTGTCAAGTAACACAAAGCCAGCATCCTGGACCACAGTTTCTGTGGCCTATGTATGTCTTTGATGCTGACCCTGGGGAAATATTTCCCTAAGTAAGAATTTTTTTAAAATATTTATTTATTATTTATACAATATTCTGTCTGTGTGTTTGCCTGCAGGCCAGAAGAGGGTACCAGACCCCAATTGCAGATGGTTGTGAGCCACCATGTGGTTGCTGGGAATTGAACTCAGGACCTTTGGAAGAGCAGGCAATGCTCTTAACCTCTGAGCCATCTCTCCAGCCTAAGTAAGAATTTTGCAGTATGGAACTACTAAGGTATTTGGTTAAAAACTTTTTCTTTCAATGTATTTACAAGTTAACAAGTTTATACGTGGAATTTTACTCTCAAAGGACCTTCTTATTTTTTCATGTATGAAATGGCGTTTTTGATTACTGGGACAAACTATAAGTGTTTTGTACACCTTCTTATGGTCCACAACTTTCAAATCATTAAACTCATTCCTCATCATTTGTAAGTTTTTGTTATCTTTCAGAAGGTTCTCACCATAAAAGCCTTGAGTAGTAACCATTTTGCTGCCTGAATGCTGTGCTTTCTAAAAGTTCCTATGCCAAGAACTTAGTCAAATACTGTTGAACTCAGTCTGACACAATATTTCATGATATTCACAGGCTTCATGAAAGTTCACTTCATGAAGTAACAAAAATGATTTGAATCCAGTTTACAATGCCAACAGAGCCCATGTTTTCCTTATGAAGCCTCATGAGCCACGTTTCCATTGTCTGAGTTATTGTGGGCATTGTTGGACTCCTTGTTTTGTGATTTTCCTTCTATTACTTTCTGTAAGGCTGGATTTGTGGCTACATATTGTTTAAATTTGTTTTTATCTTGGAATATTTTGTTTTCTTCGTTGATAGTGAACGAAAACTTAGCTGGGTATAGTAGTCTCTTCTATCAGGTTCAGCGTGGTCAGATTTATATTGATGTCTTTAATCCATTTGGACTTGAGTTTTGTGCATGGTGACAGATATGGATCTATTTTTATTCTTCTGCATGTTGAAATCCAGTTATGCCAGCACCATTTGTTGAAGATGCTTTCTTTCTTCCATTGTGTACTTTTAGTTCCTTTGTCAAAAATCAGGTGTTCATAAGTTTGTGGGTTAATATCCGGGTCTTCTATTCGATTCCATTGGTCGACTTTTCTGTTTTTATGCCAATACCAACCTGTTTTCATTCACTGTAGCTCTGTAATAGTTGAAGTCAGGGATGGTAATGCCTCCAGAAGTTCCTTTATTGTA